AAAGTACAACATAGTTGAACTTCTCGATAACTGAACTAACTTGACAGTATTAAAATTGTATTAGACTGATTTCATAGATCTTATCCTACAAGTAGAGATTCACTAATTTTCCTAATATATTCAATGGCTTAATATATATGGGGTGAATCAATGAATAAACAACGATAAAAGTTTCCGGTGATGTTATTAGAAATAGTTCATATTATGATAGTACATAGTACTTGGAAAGTGAGTACGGTTTAAGAATCTTGTCTGTCTTCTCACATTAAGATCATATTACTGGCATCATATAAGAAACCCATACAAATGAAGTTTTTTTATATACTATTGGTTATGTTTTTTTTCATATCCAATAAACCTTCTTTATGAATGTATTTATCAAATAAGAATTTGTTTAGTTGTTAATTATTCAAATATGATTTAGTTAAAAAAGAATAGGTCGCTATAACATGGTTTATTGAGAAAAACACCCAACTGTGTCACAAGACAAACCCTCACTTGGAATTCTCAAGATCAAAAGAGTAGAGGAAGACCAAAGAACACATTATGTCGAGAAATGGTGACAGACATAAGAAGAATGAATAAAAATTGGATAGAACTAAGTAAGTAAGGTTCAGGACAGAGTGAGTTGGAGAATGGTGGTCGGAGGTCTATGCTCCATTGGGAGTAACATGAGTAAGGAAGTAAGTAATTAAGTAATAACACGGTTTAATACAGTATTTATCTGCTAAATTGTAAATATCTAACTGTTGAATAGTATTTTACTATCTATTCACTATGTCATTCATATGTATATATAAACTTTTCCATTTCTGTGATTCATCATGAGTTTGTTCTTCTTTTTAAAAAAGAAACTTATTATCTTTTTCTTAATAGAGAATATTCATCAATTTAGATTCAATAATTACACTTATCTAAAACAATCAATTAAATGCTTATTAGTTTATGGAAGAATTGATATATTTACTGTCATATTCAAAACTAGAATTACAAAAAGCTAACACTGAACTCATTGATTGTAATGTTATGTAAATATTTGTCTTTTATATAACTTCATTAAGTGCTTTTGAAAAGAAAAGAAAAAACAACAACAACAGCACATTTAAAGCAGATGAATGATTGTCTACTTTACAGTTTAACTTAAGAGAATAATTTAAAACATGATGTCTATATTCTTTCTAATGATAAATATCATTTCAAATAAATATCTTAGTACTTACTTACTTATGCATGTTACTCCCAATGGAGCATAGACCTCTGACCAGTATTCTCCAACTCACTCTGTCCTGAACCTTACTTACTTAGTTCTATCCAATTGTTATTCATTCTTCTTATGTCTGTCACCATTTCTTGACGTAATGTGTTTTTTGGTTTTCTTCTATTCTTTTGGTCTTCAGGATTACAAGTGAGGGTTTGTCTTGTGACGCAGTTGGAAATATTTTAGTAGATTTCCAAAATATTGATTTAGATGTTCAGTGATAACATTCATCATGAACTGGTTGCTTAAAATTATAAAAATCATGGACAACGATATCGTATTTGCCTTCCAATCTTTATTAATAACCACTGTTGAACATGTGGAATTGAATACAAGATTCACGATAAACATTAATACCAAATGATAGAATATCCAATTTTTCGCTCATACCCAGTGTCGAATATGTGTGGTTAGCTAATACTTTTAAAGACTTGTAGGACAATCAGGGAACATTTCTTAATATACCCTGATGCGACACGTTCACATCAATAATATAGTCACTGTGTTCAATATACCATGAGAAGTGTTTTTAATATGGAGTAATCCTACAATATTCTCAAGAATCATCAGTATTTCACTATCCACTATCTTTTACTTTGCTTAGAAGAATTTAAACCCAAGCTTGTACGTGAACTGCAGGAATTATACTGGTGCTGTTTGAAAATACAGACATATTTTATTAATGCGATTAGCAAGTTGCTGTTGAAGTCCATAAATAATGTAGAACACATTTTCGTCTTGGATAATATGGTTACTTATAAGTAGTGTAAATGAAATTCAGACATTTTCAAGAGTTTTCTACATTACGAGTGTAATTGACGGTGAACTAATTGATTAGGTTTTAGAACTAGCAAGCATCATACGTCTGTTTAACCCTACTATGAAACCTATTACTAGTGCGAAAGCTCTAGGGAACGAACCTAGTATATTCAATTTTTCCAGGAATTTCATGATCTAGAATACAGTTACCCAAATACTGTGAAACTATTCGATCAAATTTAGACGAAAGTTCTCATACAGTTACCCATATATTTGTAATTTAGTCAATTCGTGATATATCCTCACTGTAATCCAATACCATCGGTAACGATCTTCTTATTTATAACATGGTTGGTCTCTTTCAGTTACAACTTCTTACTAGAATCTCGAAATGAAATCTGTAATAGACACTGTTGTGAGATCAAGAATAACGCACTCACTTTCCAGAGTATCTACACTCCTACATGTGAGCTGTAACAAAGTATCACTCTCTGTATGTCCGAAGAGAGAACATCAGCTTCGAAATTTTTTCATAGATTAGACTAATTCCGAACATTCATCAATATATTTTTTGGTGCTCTTAAACTACTTATGAGTAGTGTGAAATTTATCGAATATTTTAAAGTGCGAAGAAATGATTCTTTGCATAAGTCGATATAACGAGATCACATTAGGTATAGTAATTCCTTTATAAGCTCCAGACTGTCTTCATGTTTCAGGCAAATATCAGATAAATAAGTTTGTTTCTTTTTTCGCTGTTTATTGTTGCCAGTTATTAGCAAAACTAATCGAGGAAATCGTAGCAAACATTTAATCAATAGTCCATTTTATTTTCTAGGAAGAGCATTGAATAACTGTTTCCTTCTAGTTTGAAACTTTTCATCAGTACACACCATTTGTCCCAACCAAGCTACTCTTTTAAGCATCGTAGTTAACAAAATACTATTAAAACCATCGAGTCACAATCCTGTAATTAATTTTATTTTTACTAAGGTAATTCTATCGGTTACGGCTTCTAATAAAGACTTCTTTAAGAAATTACTTTCATCTAATGCTACTAATGAACACAGAACTATTTGTTACTAAGATGATTTTAAAGACTATTCGTATAATGTGATTTAGTATTCACTAAAACTGGATAGTGGATAGCTTTGTGCCATAAAATGACTGGAACTTTAAAAAAACCCAGTGGATCCTTCCTAACTTCCTAACTAGAAAGTATCTTGATAACTGTAATGCAACTGAAGTTCCTTGCTTCGACACCTCGTCAGATTATAAATGCTCAGTTTGAAGCCTATTCATTAAGATGGTTCTAGAACCTAAATGAAACAGTTTTCCTGTGTTCCTCGTTTGTCACTTCATTGATGAAAATCATCATCGTACACGAATGCTCTGTCTCTTGACCACCGAGCCCCGATGCCGAAGATCCTGGGTTTAATTCTCGCGTGGAGAGTTGTCGATTTGCGCTGCTAATGAGTCTAATACGGTCGTCTAGAGCTTCTAAGTCTAACCTTGAACGATTCGTGATTTCAATGAAATTCAACAATCTCCAGTACCCGATACCGAACTGGTAATCTATAAAGTCATTACAAAATGATTGTTAAATATTTAGTAATATTGTGTTCCCTAAGTTATATAGTTTAACTGGGAAACTTTCATGAATAACATCTTAAGCTTCTACTTCATGTAGAAATGAGCTTTTCAGTTATTTCACGAATGCTATATCAATTTATATAATGCTTTTGCTGGTCACCACTTGTGTATGCATATTTTATCGTCTTTATTTGTTCTTGAATTCTTTTTGACTGTCTTTTCCCATTAAACTCCAGCCTTATGACCGACTGACCTCTTCTATGTGAGTTCATAGACTGAGTCTATGTCGATCCGCCTATTGATTGCTAATTGATCTGATTCTCACACATCTGTAGATTCTCTACTCTTCCTATAGTTCTTTCGATCTGAAATTTAGACGTTAGCCCAGTCAAATTCATGTCCACGGTTATCTCCGTATATTGGTAACATTGATAGCATATCATTTAGTGTCACTGTTAAACCATTTTGATTTATACTTAGATGAAATTGCCATCCACGTTATCCAAAGTAGTATTTATTTCATTTGGTACGATTTATTTCGTAGATAACATTGAATTTGTCTTATTCTGCTTTTGCATTTCTTGATCTGTATTGAGTAGAATGAAGTGATTGTGTTGGTTCTAAAGGGCATCAAAATCCCTTTAATGAAATATTTCTCATAAATGGTAAGGCAATCTGTTTCTTGGTTTCCAGCATTAGTTTTAAAACTATTCTAATACACTTAAATTGAAATCTCCTTCAAATTGTCGACTTGTTGTTCTATCAACGTATTGTAATGGCCCTTTATCTGACTCCAATTAGATCGTTTACTGATTTCTATTAAAATATACATACCACCGATCCTCGTATATAATTATCGACTTAAATCGCGTTAGTGAATAACGGAATTAAATGTAAACAAAAAAGAACATAAGCCGATAGTTTAGAAAGAAATTGATATGTACCTTATAAAAAGGTTTATTGCCTATCATTCAGTTTGTGTCCAGAAAAATTCTAATTTCAAGAATATATTATTGATTGAATTAATGAAGTGAGGTTAACACAAATAATAACCTTTCATTCAAGTTTGCATCTCTTTATTGTACACAATTAGGATAAATCAATAAATCTGTTTTTAATGCCATCGACAAATATAGTCACTTAACATTACACTTTAATGACGAAGGATAGAGAGGAAGATAATTATCTCTTTAATCTACGATTCTATTGGTTGTTTGAAGTAAAAACTATCTTCCCATTTACGAAAAATTTAAAGCCATATATGGACATCAATTGTGCAAACATGATGACATATATAAATAAGAGATTATCTAGGGTTAATCCACTGAATTCCAAAGTTTATCATACTTAAGTCAATTACCCTTTATTAAATTCAACGAACTAAGTTAACATGGCCGACGAAGAAGTTCAAGCCCTTGTTGTTGACAATGGATCAGGGATGTGCAAAGCTGGATTCGCTGGTGATGACGCACCAAGAGCAGTGTTCCCCTCCATCGTTGGACGACCTCGACATCAAGTAAGCATAGTCATAACATTCATTCAACAAATCAATTTCTCTTTTAATTGTATTAATCTATTATCATATTACAGTCATATTATGATTTTAAGTCTAAGGGATTGTACTTAACAATGTCTCGGTTAGAATAGTTGTGATACCTACAACACAGTGATAAGATATCGAGATATCCATCCGTGTTACTTCACTGTGAACCACTTATCACAATCACTCTAATCATACATTGTTGTTGTTTGTATATGTCAACTGTATTCGACAATGAAATATCATTTGAAGTGTGATTTGAATGCTTATTTCTCTGTTTCTCTCTCTCTATCTGTCCTTATATCTCAGGGTGTGATGGTCGGTATGGGTCAAAAAGACAGCTATGTCGGTGATGAAGCACAATCGAAACGTGGTATTCTCACACTGAAATACCCAATCGAACACGGTATTGTGACGAACTGGGATGACATGGAGAAGATCTGGCATCACACATTCTACAATGAATTGCGTGTGGCTCCAGAAGAACACCCGGTCCTGTTGACCGAGGCTCCATTGAATCCGAAAGCCAATCGTGAGAAGATGACCCAAATCATGTTTGAGACATTCAACACACCAGCCATGTACGTGGGCATTCAAGCTGTACTGTCACTGTACGCATCGGGTCGTACAACTGGTATTGTGTTGGACTCTGGTGATGGTGTGACACACACTGTGCCGATCTACGAAGGTTATGCCCTACCACATGCTATCCTGCGTCTGGATCTGGCTGGTCGTGACTTGACTGACTACTTGATGAAGATTTTGACGGAACGTGGTTACAGCTTCACAACCACAGCTGAGCGAGAAATCGTGCGTGACATCAAGGAGAAACTGTGTTACGTGGCTCTTGACTTTGAACAGGAAATGGCCACTGCCGCATCCAGCTCATCTCTGGAGAAGAGTTACGAACTGCCTGATGGTCAGGTGATCACGATCGGTAACGAACGATTCCGTTGTCCTGAGGCGTTGTTCCAACCAAGTTTCTTGGGTATGGAATCTGCTGGTGTTCATGAGACCACATTCAACTCAATAATGAAATGTGATGTGGACATCCGTAAAGATCTGTACGCGAACACTGTGTTGTCAGGTGGTACTACAATGTTCCCAGGTATTGCTGATCGTATGCAGAAAGAGATCACTGCATTGGCGCCGAGCACAATGAAGATCAAGATAGTTGCTCCACCTGAGCGAAAATATTCCGTTTGGATTGGTGGTTCTATTTTGGCCTCATTGTCTACGTTCCAACAGATGTGGATTTCCAAACAAGAATATGATGAATCTGGTCCTGGTATTGTTCACCGTAAATGCTTCTAAATCTATTTACTAAAAGTGCTTATTCAATTAATTATATTCTTATCACGTCTATTATTATTACTATAAGGATATTTCTGTGCTGAATTATCTAGTCAACTAAAACAATTTACTTCCATATTTCACCCATTTGTCTAACTAGTCCTACACATGACATCAACAACGAACCAAGTTCATTTATTTATTATTACCAAGAATATGAATTAATAAATATGCCCAACCTAATCTTACCTTCCAATTTTTTTCTTCTTTGTTTCTCTCTGAAGATTTACATCTTTACTCCATTTGTTTTCAAGCCTAAAATAAGAAACAAGAATAGGTGGTTTTGTTTTTCTCTTTTTTTTGGAAAAAAAAGAAGATAATCTTAGCTACTAATAATAAATACAAATATTTACTAAAACTGTATAATTATTTTCTACATTGGTCTTACCGTAAGTAATTAATGTTGCAGTTTACGGTCGTAGTAATAATAATAGTAGGTTGAATCTAATCAAGTTTTCGTAATCATTAATACATATGTAGGTAATCAGTTCAGGTATAAGGATGGTGATTATTAGTTGTCATGATTTATGTGAATGTTGATCAGTCTTTTGGATGTAGATTTATTAAAGAGTTGTTAGAATAATATATATGTATAGTCGGTAGATATAAGTATATGTTGCTCTTAGAAATTACCTAACAGTATAATCCTAGAAAACTAATGTCGTCCTAATTGGAATTCGTTAATTGAATATATTCGTATCCTATTTTTGATCCGCTGATATCTCTGTCACTAATGAGACATTGTTCATTAAGCCATTAACTCACTTTAGTTAGCGATTTATTCAGTAAATATGAAGAATTTAAGTTAAAAGATTAACAAGGAAGCAACTTGTTTCATTCTATAAAATAGGAAAGAAGTACATTCATGGATTAAAATGCTAAGTTGTAAAAGAACCGAATTGTAAAATGAATTCAGTCAGGAGAAAACTTGTTGGAAATAGAGACATTTTAACGTAGATTCGTATGAATTTCTGGGTTTAAATGAAATTTAAGTAAGTCAGACAAGAACTGTTGAGTTAAGATTATAATGTAGGTCAGATGTATATATGAAGAAAGCTAAAATGATTGACTGAATTAATTATCAAGTCAAAGGAACCGCTAGTAAATTCACAGTCTGTGTCACTCTGACCATCTACAAATGCATATACTCCTATGTCGACTGTCTTCTTTGACATAGGTATATGACTAAGTTATATGTTAGAACCTTGCATTGAACAACAGTTAAAATCAAAGTCCAAACATTCAAACTAGTTTTTTTTAAGTAACCTATCTGAATATTTGCTGACTAAGCCAAGTAAATCAAATATCACTTTTATATTACTGAGTTAGTGTTTATTATGTCAAGTCTGCATAAATTTAACTTAGTAAAGTAAACACTGAATTATTTTAGTTTATACGATAACTAAATATAGGCAGAAACCAGACATGTGTTATAATATTTTTACTACTAGACTGTTGGAGGGACTCAGTAGGAAACTCTGAACCTAGTTTGTGTACTAATCTCTCTTCAGAATGATTAACTTATAATTTTAAGGGAATTAATGCTTCCTGTGAAATTCGAAACTTAGTTTTCCTGTGTCGCAGTCTGGGAAGTTATTACGGAACTGTTCAGGCAGCAATATATCATGTGTAGGACTGTTATTTACAAAGATTGATCTTTGGGTAGTGGTCAATGCCATATGTACTTAGTCCTTGATACTAATTGGACTCTATTGATTTAGTTTCAATATGGTCACCGATCTATGTGACTTGATATAAAGTGCATTTGATTGAGATTTTGTTCGTACATATATATGACTATCATCGAACGTTAAAACAACAGATTGAATGTCATAAGAAAGAAAATAGTATTAATTATTCAGTGTAACTAAGAATAAATATGACTGATTATATAATATCAGATAATAATCATCATATGCTCGGTAGTGACTGGCTTCAAGATGTATTTCCTGGAGTTCAAGTGAGAAGTTGTGACCAGTGGAGTTCAGCAGGGTCTGTTGTAAGGCAGTTACTCATTAAAGACAATGATGGACGGTCGCGCAGTATCGTGGATTGGTTGAAGTTACACATTGACACCGTTGGATGCTGGCTCAATGGTCTACAGCTTAAGAGTTCATGCGCGGGACCTACAGGTTTTGGGTTCGAGTCCTGCGTGTGGGATCGTGGATGCGCATGGCTGAGGAGTCCCACACTCAGAGGAAACGGCCCTCCAGTACTTTCAGGTTTTCCATGGTGGTCTAGCTTCAATCGACTGATGAACTCAACCATTAAATTACTATAATATCCACAGAACCCCTTTCTGATTACATAATAGTTTAGATAGGTATAAATAAACTTACTTATAAATCAGGAGTCAGATTATGTTTGCTGATATCGTATTGTGATAGATTTTGTTTAAAATAAATTAGTTATGCAACATGCACAGTGAGTTTTTTTCCTATTCATAATCTTAATTCTGTGCTTGTGCTTACACTGTTAGGAATGAATCTACTTACCCTTGTCACAAAATCGATGGTACAGGAGATTTCTTCGAACCTCCAATCAGAAATTTAGATTATCTGTCATAGATCTTGAGATTATGAACAAATGGCATGCGTAGTTGTAACACACTACAGTTGATCAATTCTGATAGGTATAGAACTAAGACATTGCAATATGATACCGAGCAATAGACTTTATAAGTATGGGAGGCTATTGAGATTTTCGGTTGGCATCAGTAACTGACCTTGATTAGACAACCATTGAAACCCATTTATAGACCACGAACTCTGTTTTTTGAGGAACACTGATCTTTACTGCGTCCTATGTTTTACTCACGACTGTTTTGAGCCTTTGTTTCGACACATGTCTGTGTTGACTCACCTCTGAATAATACAGTAATGTGGACAAGCTCTTATGGTGCCAGATGTATGGTAGGTCTCATCATACTGTAACCTTTCCATCGACTTGTTAATTTTAGAAGATAACCATTCTCGATTGGTTTTTTAATAATAGCCTCACTTCGTCTTCAACAGTATCATTTGTACAAATACGGTCAATCCAATTAAATAGGCTGTCTACCAATCTCAATTTGCATCGTACTAGGTAATAACTATAAAGACTTAGACAATGGCCCGTCCAAGTTGGCTTTCCGAAAACGTTTAGCTCGGTTGGGCCATCTTTTCTACATATATCTAGAAAATGAAACTAGTTGTTCTTCTCTTCACGTGAAAGGTTAATGTAATTTAAGTGAGCGTTATGTTTATTCAATAAACAATTCATATCCTCCGTTTTGTCGTAAATCACTACGACGTCATCTAAATATCGCTTATAGAGCATATAATGTGATCAGATTGTTCAAAATGTGTTACGATAGTTGCACCTGGTTGCCTCTCAGTTTTTTAATTTCCAATAGAAGTTCAGAATATAGCATTTTTGAGTATATTTCCATTCATTTAGTAGGTGAGTACTGGAATGTAAGAGTAGAGTATTCCTTGGGGATTTCATTTAAATCATCTGAAGCTACTCACATTTATTTTCTACGAACACACGCATCACAATTTACTGTATGAAAAAATCAAACGAAGTGAAAATTAGAGTTTGAACTGAAATTCTTAGTAAAAATTTGTACTCTTATATGTAAC